CCCCTTTGCGCCCTCATTGCCCAATTCATATGAAAACAAGAGCCATCTTAGTTAGCCCGTTTTCTAATACTACAAACCACGCTTTTCATCTTGATCTCTGTGAGATCTACGCCACATGAACATCAATATTAAACTGCAGAAACTGAAGGATATATAATAACAATACAAATAGCGGAAGACAACGACCGGCCGGCAACAATTACCTCCACAGACGAACTCAACAGCGGTCCGCCGTCAAACTCCGGCGCGTAGCCCCGTCGCTTGCGCTCCGGGCCTCCTCCTATAGATTAACCTCCCGTGATTCATTTGCCGTAATCTGGTGGTTGCGAGCTGAAAATGTGGCATGTGCTGCGTGCGTGGTGCCTCGCTCCAAATTCGTGGATCCAGCAGGGTCGATTCATGCGTTGTGGCGGATCAGACTCTACAAAACTACTTAGTCCAAGCCCAGATTTTTTTACTGCAGCTATACATTGGAGGCCTACTGCAGAACTGTACGTGTACTGGGGGCCCCTTCCACTCTGGGTGCCCGGGGCGGCCTCCCCCTCTGCCCCCCTCAGGGCCGGGCCTGCTCGCCTGTCCTCAAGAGAAAACCGAAATCGAAAAACATGTCCACATGCTTTGAGAGAGAGGTATCGATAAAAACAAAATATGGACATAGAAGCATCATGTTGATTATTATAACAGCAACAAAATTAAACATAGGACTTTTATCATAGAACTTTTATCATATACTTCTTATGAATAAGTAATAGTTCATCACACAATCGAAGTATAAAGCAAAAACTCTATTAGAAATCAACAAACTATGTTCTCAGCCAACTTTGCAACTGCAATTCATCATCTTTTCAGGAAGGGTCACGTGTCAGAGCCTTTAGGCAAGTCCACATACTCAACCATCACATAGTCTTCTATGATTGCTAACACTCACCTCGTACCCATGAGCAAAACATTTCAACTAAACACATATAAAGATCGGGGCTTATAGTTTTGCCTCCCAACATACTCACCTCGAGGGTGATGTCAACAATAATAACTCATGCTATCTATATTCAACTGGACATATGTGACTAGATCTTTCCTCACCACATGATGCTTGCCAAAGGAGAAAAATAAAAGGAATAGAAGGAAACCTTTGACTCTTTGCATAAAAGTAAGTGCATAAAAATAAAGGAAAGGCCCTTCGCAGAGGGAAGAAGAGGTTGTCATGCGCTTATTTGTTTGTATGCTCAATCCCTTAGTGCAAGAGAACGTCACGTTGTATTACCCCTTAAGATGACAACCTTTATTATGCAGTATGTCGCTTTTATTCTTTGTCATCCAAGTTCATACAACGCTCAATTTTCTCTTACACTATATGATCCCACAGTTTTAGAAGCAATTTTTATTGCCTTTTTGCACCAATGACAACTTACTTGAGGGATCTTGCTCAATCCCTAGGTAGATATGGTGGACACTTGAAAAGATTTGGGTTTAAGAGTTTTTGGATGCACAAGTAGTATCTGTACTTAGTGCGGATTTTTGGCTAGCAAAGGTAGGGGCAAGCATCACATGTTAAAGGATCTATGACAATATGACTTCTATGTGAATATAAACAAATATAAACCATTAAGTTGTCTTCCTTGTCCAACGTTAACAATTTTGGCATATAATATTTTGATGAGGGCTCACAATCACAAAAGATTTCTAGGATAGTATATCTATATGTGAATCTTCTCTTCCCTTATTAATTCTTTCATGAGTTGCATCATTGACTAATGCTATGTTTGTCAATCTTTAATAAAATTTTCTACTTATACTTTTCCTTATGTGATGCCATAACCTATCATAGGATTAGTATATAATCTTATTGATTTATTTCCTTTCTCTTTTTTTTCTTATTTATTTTCTTTATTTGCAAAATAAGAGTTAAGAAAGCAAAAACTCAAACTAACTTTATTATATAACTTGTACACGATTACAAGGATAGATCACTAAGCAAACTCTCAAAGAAGAAAGGATCGAACTAAACTTTATTTCATCTAAAAGCAAATGATCGAACTAAGATAAGTAAAAGCAAAAAGATAGTGGGATGATACGATACCGATGCACCTCCCCCAAGCTTGGCGGAAGCCAAGGGGAGTGCCCATACCCGATACTCAATTCTCCTTTGGTGGTGAAGAAGATGATGGTGGTGATGAAGGAGAGATCTTGTCCTCAGACTTCCATGGCAGTTGTCCACCAACATAAGAGGAGGAGTGAGTCTCATGGGTCCTGCAACTAGCAGCCAAACTCATACCTTTGAACCTTGCCTCATATTCGAAGACTTGGTTTTGGAGGTCATAGATCTGGCTTTGGAGGAAGTTGATTTGCTCGTTGAAGGTGAAGACGATGTCCTTCATGGGCTTGCCATTCACCTTGAGATCACGGGAAAGGTCTGCGATCATAAGGTGATTAACATTGAGCCCATGCTCCACCATCCCCTTGCACCGGAAGACTTCCTGCTCCATGGCCTCAAGCCTGGCCTCCACAGTTCTCGTGCCCTTGGGACCTTGCTCATCGCGGATGTATAGCACCCCCTCCTGCATCTGGGTGGTTTGAGGGTGCTGCACCACCTCCCGCAGATAAGGGTTGATGACGTTCTTGAAGAACTTGGCCTTGGAAGAGCTTGAAGAGGCCATGGTAGATGGGATCTGACAGAAAAGAGCAAGGGAAAACAGAACAGAGGATTTCTCCGTGATATGGTGATCAACATGTTCGAGAAGTATATATCAGGGTTGGAAAAAGCGTTATTAGGCGTACGCCTAGGCGCGCTGAAGCGCTCGGCGACAACCCACCGCGTAGCCTTGGGCCTAATCGGTGCTCTAGGAGGGCCCATCGCCTAGGCGGATCCAGGCGTGCGCCTAAGCGAGATGAAGCGGAGAAAAGCAGCGAGGAGGCGACGCAAGGCAGACCAAGGCAGACCAGAGATGGAATCGGAGAGGTTAAAATCCTGGACGGGAAGGTCGAGAAGATCGCGAGAGGATGGAGAAGAGTGCGGGAAGTTTGCTGGCGGAGGAAATGAGAGATTTGGCTAGACTTTGGATATATATACACTGAAAAGGGTGGTGGCGGCTGGATCTATTCCGTCGTCGCTTCGTCCTCCGGTCGCCGAGACGAAGAGATTCACCTCATCCTCTCACCATGCAGACATGACTTCTTCCTCCTCTCCATCCATCTGCTCAATGACAAGCTGAGATCCGGTCTTCTTCCCTGCTATAGGTGAGCTACCAATTCGATTTTGTCTGTCCCTTCTCTTCTCGTGTATTCACTGTGCCTGTGTACTGCCTCTACATCGTCCCCTGGATTGCTAGTTTGTTGCTACTTGCTGCCCTGTCCCTCGCATGGAATCACTTGATCTGCAGTTTATGTATTGATATTGATTTATCTAGATTGTTAATTGGGTGTTGTTTGATCCATCCCTGGCGGATCTAGGATTGCAGCGTAGGGGTGCCACTCAATAAAAAAATTGTGCAGAGATCTCACAATTTAAGCTTCATGTAAGCATCACGTAGTAGTACCATAACCGCGTCAACAAAAGAAATGATAGTTAGTTTGTTCGATCTGCAACTGATTTATACATGCCTTGATGCTGTTGTGTCTGAATTTTTTATTGTGTCTGAATTGGCTCATGCATTTACAAGATGTAACAAATACAGTAAGAAGCAATTAGTATTTGGGCATAAACAATATAGTGGGAGACAGGAACTATGCTCAGGCTCAAGGTAAAAGTTGTTCCTGACCTGGCTCAATGCATTTGGTCTCGCCTAGTCTGTCACCGCAATCCGGCATGCCCGTGCTCGCCACCAGCTAGCTCGGCAGCGTGCAGTGCTCCCTCTGCCTGACCTATGCCTACTGCCGCTGGCCGTTGCACCAAATGACCTGACCACCCTAGACACCGAACCTATGAAATTTTCTTTACTGATCACTTCTAATGGAATAAGACATGACTAAAAATAATAGTAACTTTGTGATGCAGTTGTACTTGATAGCTCATCCGGCGAGGAGGTTAAAGTAAGGAAAGTATCCACTAGTCTAAAGGTAATCATTTTGTGCACTATTCATGTTAATGAAGTTCCTTCCATGATTGTCTCAGTTCGTAAGTTATATACATGGCATGATGCCAAGATGTGATACTAGACGTTACTAGTACTACTGTACTAGTATATAAGTAGGATCATATTCTGTTGCATGATTCCAAAATGTGACAGTGACATAGCTACTACTAGTACACTAGTCTAAAAGTTTCGAATGCAACACATTTATGAGCTTATGCAAAAAATATGTTCTTTTGGTTTCCTCCATGGTAGTTTTTGTATTATCAATTTACTTCACAATAGAAAGTTTCTTGGAAGTTTGTGCTATGATTTTTTCTTCTGTTACCTGATGCTAAGATGCAACACCAGCCAGAACTAGTCCTAGTGTAAAAGTAGGATCATATGTATGTGGTTGCTGGTAATATTTACTATGGAGACTAGAGGTTCATTAATCAGAGGGTTGTTTAGTCGGTATAAAAATGGATTTTCTTCTGGATCTGTATCGAGCATTGCAGCCTTGTAGGACTAAATAAGTTTCCAATGCAATTATGCAACAAATTTATAAGCTTGTAATGCAAAATATTATGTTCTTTGGTTTCCCTCATTGTAGTTTTTGTATTTTCTATTTAGTTTGTTTTGCTTGGAATCTCTCGATAGGCAACTTCCTACCTATTTCATATTTGATCTGCATATACTACAAATTTATGATATTATAACTTATATTGCTTTGCTTCTGCCTTCTTCTGTAAAAATCATATACCTAATTAAGTGGGTAATGATTTATCTTCTACTCTGTGTTTTTCGGATGTGGACACGCGCACACCCGTACGGACATACTATATTGCATTTTTTGCTTTGATCATTATCTAAATTTATGCCTACTTGTGGTCTCCACTTTGATAGACCTAGTCCATATTTTTTATCATTATCGATGTGAATTACCGAACTATGGCTGCTGTGTATTTGAGCATTTGTAGGATGTTGGAGACAAACACAACATCAGTGTTGCTGGAAGAGAACGCCAGTAAGATAAAGTCGGATGATGTGGGATGGGAGTATGGGAGTCTAGCCGATCTTTCCAACAAGGACAAAGTGAAGTGTTTGTTTTGTAACCATGTGATCATTGGAGGTGTTTATCGTCACAAGCAGCATGTGGCTCACGTTGGTAATTTTGTGGCTAAATGCAAGAAAAGCTCACAGGAAGCTAAAGATAGGTGCAAGAAATCTCTTGAGGAGGCATCTAAGAAGAGGATGGAAAAGACTTCCCGTGAGCTGGAGCTCAGAGAAGGCGTGAATATTTCTCGTGTTGGAGATGCTTAAGTTACTTGTATTGGAAGCGCTGAGCCACACAAGATAGGTCCCATTGACAGTGGACACGTCCTATTGATCCTAAATTAACTCAAGTTGTGTGTCTGTGTGGAACTATCCCTGTTGTGACTTGAGAGAAGTCTTTCAAATAAGATTCTAGGAATAAAGTACTTGTGAACTTGAGCTCATAATTTATAATGCTATATGCCATATTGGGTCTTGCGTGATGTTTGCCTCAACTATATTTGAATATTTGATGTTCCTATGTTACTGCTACTTCCTTTGAGTAGATCATTTTTAGTTCTTCACGATGTTGTGATGTACTCCCTCCATCCCATGATATAAGATCTGAAATAAAATCTTATATCATGGGATGGAGGGAGTATTTTATTATCATTCAATTGTCCTAACCTACTGTAGTAGAAAATGCCTAAGGCTATGCCTAGCCAAAAATTGTCCTCCTAACCTGCTACCATACAAAACGCCTTGGCCCGCCTAGGCTACACCTAGGCAGGCTAGGCGCTAGGCAGAGAGTCATCGCCCGCCTACCGCCTAACGCTTTTTCCAACCTTGTATAGCATTATAAATTATGAGCTCAAGTTCACAAGTACTTTATTCCTAGAATCTTATTTGAAAGACTTCTGTCAAGTCACAACAGGGATAGTTCCACACAGACACACAACTTGAGTTAATTTAGGATCAATAGGACGTGTCCACTGTCAATGGGACCTATCTTGTGTGGCTCAGCGCTTCCAATACAAGTAACTTAAGCATCTCCAACACGAGAAATATTCACGCCTTCTCTGAGCTCTAGCTCACGGGAAGTCTTTTCCCTCCTCTTCTTAGATGCCTCCTCAAGAGATTTCTTGCACCTATCTTTAGCTTCCTGCGAGCTTTTCTTGCATTTAGCCACAAAATTACCAACGTGAGCCACATGCTGCTTGTGACGATAAACACCTCCAATGATCACATGGTTACAAAACAAACACTTCACTTTGTCCTTGTTGGAAAGATCGGCTAGACTCCCATACTCCCATCCCACATCATCCGACTTTATCTTACGGGCGTTCTCTTCCAGCAACACTGATGTTGTGTTTGTCTCCAACATCCTACAAATGCTCAAATACACAGCAGCCATAGTTCGGTAATTCACATCGATAATGATAAAAAAATATGGACCAAGTCTATCAAAGTGGAGACCACAAGTAGGCATAAATCTAGATAATGATCAAAGCAAAAAATGCAATATAGTATGTCCGTACGGGTGTGCGCGTGTCCACATCCGAAAAACACACAGTAGAAGATAAATCATTACCCACTTAATTAGGTATATGATTTTTACAGAAGAAGGCAGAAGCAAAGCAATATAAGTTATAATATCATAAATTCGTAGTATATGTAGATCAAATATGAAATAGGTAGGAAGCTGCCTATCGAGAGATTCCAAGCAAAACAAACTAAATAGAAAATACAAAAACTACAATGAGGGAAACCAAAGAACATAATGTTTTGCATTACAAGCTTATAAATTTGTTGCATAATTGCATTGGAAACTTATTTAGTCCTACAAGGCTGCAATGCTCGATACAGATCCAGAAGAAAATCCATTTTTATACCAACTAAACAACCCTCTGATTAATGAACCTCTAGTCTCCATAGTAAAGATTACCAGCAACCGCATACATATGATCCTACTTTTACACTAGGACTAGTTCTGGCTGGTGTTGCATCTTGGCATCAGGTAACAGAAGAGAAAATCATAGCACAAACTTCCAAGAAACTTTCTGTTGTGAAGTAAATCGATATTACAAAAACTACCATGGAGGAAACCAAAAGAACATATTTTTTGCATAAGCTCATAAATGTGTAGCATTCGAAACTTTTAGACTAGTGTACTAGTAGTAGCTATGTCACTGTCACATTTTGGCATCATGCAACCGAATATGATCCTACTTATATACTAGTACAGTAGTACTAGTAACGTCCAGTATCACATCTTGGCATTATGCCATGTATATAACTTACGAACTGAGACAATCATGGAAGGAACTTCATTAACATGAATAGTGCACAAAATGATTACCTTCATACTAGTGGATACTTTCCTTGCTTTAACCTCCTCGTCGGATGAGCTGTCAAGTACAACTGCATCACAAAGTTACTATTATTTTTAGTCATGTCTTATTCCATTAAAAGTGATCAGTATAGAAAATTTCATAGGTTCAGTGTCTAGGGTGGTCAGGTCATTTGGTGCAACGGCCAGCGGCAGTAGGCATAGGTCAGGCAGAGGGAGCACTGCACGCTGCCGAGCTGGCTGGTGGTGAGCACGGGCATGCCGGATTGCGGTGACAGACTAGGCGAGACCAAAGGCATTGAGCCAGGCCAGGAACAACTTTTACCTTGAGCCTGAGCATAGTTCCTGTATCCCACTATATTGTTTATGCCCAAATACTAATTGCTTCTTACTGTATTTGTTACATCTTGTAAATGCATGAGCCAATTCAGACACAATAAAAAATTCAGACACAACAGCATCAGGGCATGTATAAATCAGTTGCAGATCGAACAAACTAACTATCATTTCTTTTGTTGACTCGGTTATGGTACTACTACGTGATGCTTACATGAAGCTTAAATTGTGAGATCTCTGCACAATTTTTTTATTGAGTGGCACCCCTACGCTGCAATCCTAGATCCGCCAGGGATGGATCAAACAACACCCAATTAACAATCTAGATAAATCAATATCAATACATAAACTGCAGATCAAGTGATTCCATGTGAGGGATAGGGAAGCAAGTAGCAACAAACTAGCAATCCAGGGGACGATGTAGAGGCAGTACACAGGCACAGTGAATACACGAGAAGAGAAGGGACAGACAAAATCGAATTGGTAGCTCACCTATAGCAGGGAAGAAGACCGGATCTCAGCTTGTCGTTGAGCAGATGGATGGAGAGGAGGAAGAAGTCATGGCTGCATGGTGAGAGGATGAGGTGAATCTCTTCGTCTCGGCGACCGGAGGACGAAGCGACGACGGAATAGATCCAGCCGCCACCATCCTTTTCAGTGTATATATATCCAAAGTCTAGCCAAATCTCTCCTTTCCTCCGCCAGCAAACTTCCCGCAATCTTCTCCATCCTCTCGCGATCTTCTCAACCTTCCCGTCCAGGATTTAAACCTCTCCGATTCCATCTCCGGTCCGCCTTGGTCTGCCTTGCGCCGCCTCCTCGCTGCTTTTCTCCGCTTCATCTCGCTTAGGCGCACGCCTGGATCCGCCTAGGCGATGGGCCCGCCTAGAGCACCGATTAGGCCCAAGGCTACGCGATGGGTTGTCGCCGAGCGCTTCAGCGCGCCTAGGCGTACGCCTAATAACGCTTTTTCCAACCCTGATGCTATATGCCATATTGGGTCTTGCGTGATGTTTGCCTCAACTATATTTGAATATTTGATGTTCTTATGTTACTGCTACTTCCCTTGAGTAGATCATTTTTAGTTCTTCACGTTGTTGTGATGTAGTCCCTCCATCCCATGATATAAGATCTGAAATAAGATCTTATATCATGGGATGGAGGGAGTATTTTATTATCATTCAATTGTCCTAACCTAATGTAGTAGAAAATGCCTAAGGCTATGCCTAGCCAAAAATTGTCCTCCTAACCTGCTACCATACAAAACGCCTTGGCCCGCCTAGGCTACGCCTAGGCAGGCTAGGCGCTAGGCATAGAGTCATCGCCCGCCTACCGCCTAGCGCTTTTTCCAACCTTGGTATATATAGATTTTTTTTATCTTGGAGGACAAGCATACAGAAGAAAAACGGAGTACAGAAGGTGTCCCAAGTGGGCACAACCCACCTGGGCGTGCCAGGCAAGCCTGGCGCGCCTTGGTGTCTTGTGCCCACTAGGGGACGCTTCTTGGAAGTTTCTTTATATCCAAAATTTTAAAATATTCCAAAACTGATAAAAAATATTGTTGCGGATTTTTTGGAGTCCGTTTACTTACCGTATCACGTATCTCTTTGTTTTTAGGATTCCGGAGTGTTCCGAAAGGACTCTTTTATGTGCTCTTCCGGTGTCAAAGTTTGGATAATATTACTTTCAACATTTATAGGCATACCTGAGGTATAATGCTTTATTCGTTTCCCATTGACAACCTTTGGGTTAGTACCTTCAGAGTTATTTATTTTGATGGCTCTAGACCGGTAAACCTCCTCGATGATGTATGAGCCTTCCCATTTCGAGAGGAGCTTTCCTGCAAAAAATCTAAAACGACATTTGTACAGAAGAACATATTCTCCAACTTTAAACTCACGCTTTTAAATTCTTTTGTCATGCCATCTTTTAACTTTTTCTTTGAATAACTTTGCATTTTCATAAGCTTGGGTTCTCCATTCATCTAAAGAGCTTATATCAAATAACCTCTTTTCACCAGCAAGTTTGAAATCATAGTTGAGTTCTTTAACTGCCCAATATGCTTTATGTTCTAAATCAAGAGTCCAATGACAAGCTTTTCCATAAACAATTTTATAAGGAGACATACCCATAGGATTTTTATAAGTTGTTCTATAAGCCCAAAGTGCATCATCTAATTTCTTAGACCAATTCTTCCTGGACCTATTAACAGTCTTTTGCAAAAATAATTTTATTTCTCTATTGCTAAGTTCAACTTGACCACTAGACTGATACGTCTCCAACGTATCTGTAATTTTTGATTGCTCCATGCTACTTTATCTATTGTTTTGGACTATAATGGGCTTTATTTTCCACTTTTATATTATTTTTGGGACTAACCTATTAACCGGAGGCCCAGCCCAGAATTGCTGTTTTTTGCCTATTTCAGTATTTCGAAGAAACAGAATATCAAACGGAGTCCAAACGGAATGAAACCTTCGGGAACATGATTTTCTCACCGAACGTGATCTAGGAGACTTGGACCCTACTCCAAGAAGCACCAGAGGCGGTCACGAGGGTGGAGGGCGCGCCCCCCCTGGGCGCGTCCCCTACCTCATGGGCC